GACAATTTGGGAGTTTATCTACTTCTCTCCAACCTGCAAAAAGACAGGATGTTAAAGAGGAAGGGACAGGAAACTACTAAGTTCTTGGTATCAGGTGGCTGGACAATTCTGAGCCCAGTAGACCTGAGTCATAATGGCTCCATTTAAAAAATCAAAATGAGAAAAAAATAACAAAGAGCTAATTCAGTTGTATGCAAAAGTGGCCGATGAGTTATCTCTGTCCCCAGTCTCAGGCTGACTGGCTTACACGCAGGCCGGCCACAGTTGGATTGCACAGAACTCCTCCGGGCTGGGCAATTCATTCATTCACAATTGTACATGCAGAGCACACAGAACGTGGTGTCCGGCTAGATCTGGGCTTCTTGATCTGGAAGGTGCAAACAGATCACCTGCAGGCAGCCTTCGGACAAGTCAAGGCCAAGGGAGGATGTTGGTTAACAACATTCTATGGAAAATAGCCGATGTTGCAGGAGAGCAGACAAGCTGCTTGCATGTGTTGATGTCTGTGCACCTTCTGTGCTTCCTTGATGTGCCGCCGGTGTCATGTATAAATATTGCTGAGACGCTGGAATAAATGAGCCTTGATCAGCCCTTTGTCTTGGCTCCGTGCTCTGCGCTCTTGTCCCTCTTTTCATTCCCACTCCCTCCTTCAGGTTCTGTTCGACTGGTGCGGCAGGCCCACACAGGTGGCACCCGAACAGGGACCTGAATACCAGGGAACTGTGTGAGGAACCCCAAAAAAGGAAGGCAGCTGCCGCTCGATACTGTGGAGGAGTAGGTGGGTACCCGCTGCCCGTAATCCTCGGTAAGCAATAGATGGGGCCGTATGGGACAAGCACAAGAAAAAAGAGAGGTAATTAAGTCCGTTAAAAATTTGCTCCAGATGCAGGGAATAGGGTTAAAGAAACAAACCGTACAGCAATTTGTTAGCGTGGTTGAAAAGATTAGTCCTTGGTTTGCTGAAGAGGGTGTTGTGGATGAAGAATATTGGGATTTATTAGGAAAAGAGTTGAATGCTGTGGGGAGCAACTCGGACTAGACTGTTACTGGAATTAAGACTTATTCTATGCATCTGCTCTCCCACAATATGGCGCTGGGAGAGGAGGCAACAGCTTCTACACAGCTGCCTCTCACCAACTTGACAAGCTGCAGGACCTGCTCCTGATTGGAGGAGAGCAGCGTACTCGGCGTGTGGGTAGCAGAGTTGGGATTGGTGGAAGAGGACTATAAAGGAGGAGAGAGACAACATGCACCAGGAACATCTAAAGGGAACATCTATCTGAAGGAACACCTGTGCAGCCCCCGAGAGAGCCAGCCGGTGGTGTGCCGCTCCTCCGCGGAAGCGGGGAAAGTGGCAGGGGGTGCCGCCCCTCCATGGAGGTGGAGGGGTCGGCAGCCAACCCAGGAAGGACCAGCAGCAAACCCGGGGAGGGCCGAGCAGACGAAAGAACAACGCAGGGTCCTGTGTCGTTCCTCCACGAAGACGGGGAGCGACAGAATGCCCCTTTGCAGGCTTTTGGTCCCGATGATCTTCAGGTTAGCGTTCGGTTGGCCACACGGAGCCTCCAGGAAACAATCGAGGAGGTGCGCAGTCAGGCGTCGCAGGCAGGAGACCGCTCCCTGTGACACCTGCCACAAAAACTGACAAATTCAGAAAGAAAAGCTTCGGAATATGGACCACGGAAAGGAACCCTCCGGACCCTTCCAGACAGGAGCCATGGCCAGAAACCTCTGCTCTGCCTTCATATCTAGGCCAGTTACAAGAGGAAGTTGAACAGTTAGAGAAACAGATTTTACTAGAAAAGGCTAAGCAAGATTTAACCAAACAGCTCCAAGATCTTCGTGATCCACAGGCACCTTCTTTCCCAGGTAATTCTACTTCCCATCATCCTCCTGTTGGTGTCGAACAAGTTATCTGAAATGCTGTGGAAGCAGGAGAGGCTGGGGTGGAGGTATCTTTGGGAGCTTTACCCGTGGAAGAGTATCAACCAAATGGGCAGAACATGAGGAGACATATTCCCGTATCGTTTAAATGTTGAAAGAACTGAAATTTGCATGTGATTATTTTGGTCCTATAGCCCTATATACAATGATGTTGCTACAGAGCTTAGAAGCCATGGTACTTGCACCAGCTGATTGGAAGTCGATAGCTAGAGCATGTTTGTCCAGGGGAGATTATCTGCTATGGAAATCAGAGTGTTTTGATCAATGCCACAAAACTGCTTGACTTAATGCTCAGGGAGCTAATGCTGGCTGGACTTTTGATATGTTGGCAGTGGAAGGGGCATATGAGGGTATCTTAGCTCAAATAGTGCAGCCCATTGCTGTTTTTCAGCAGACAGCTGTGGCCGCGTGCCGAGCTTGGACCACTCTCCCTTCTAAAGGAGAAAAAATGGGAGAGTCGCTTTCAAAAACCATTCAGGGGCCTGATGAGCCATATGCTGGTTTTGTTAATCACTTGCTGCAGGTGGCAGGGAAAATATTTGGGGATCTGCAAGCAGGAATGGATCTTATAAAACAACTAGCTTATGAAAATGCCAATGTTGGGGTGCCAGTTCTGTCCCGGTTGCTCCTCTTCCTGTCCAGCTCTCTGCTGTGGCCCAGGAGGGCAGTGGAGGATGGCCCAAGTGCTTGGACCCTGCACCTGCATGGGAGACCAGGAGGAAGCACCTGGCTCCTGGCTTTGGATTGGCGCAGCGAGCCGGCCGCAGCGGCCATTTGGGGAATGAACCAATGGAAGGAAGACCTTTCTCTCTGTCTCTCTCACTAACTCTGCCTGTCAAAAAAAAATCCCTATAGAAGAAAAACAGATTTGGATGGGTACATTAAGCTGTGTGCTGATATTGGACCTTCTTGTACTCAAGGACTAGCAATGGCTGCCGCTCTGCATGGTGTTTCATTACAAGAATCAGCAAGGAGAGCTATGCCCGATAAGCAAGGGTGCTATGAATGTGGGCAGCTGGGACATGTGTGAAAAAACTGTCCAAAAGTTAAAAATCAAAATAAGGCTCCTCCTGGGATTTGCCCCCGGTGCAAAAAGGGAGGCATTGGGCCAATGAATGTCGCTCCAAAACTGATAAAGAAGGTAATTCATTAAAAGAACAGAGTTCAGGAAACTGGAAGCGGGGCCAGCCCCAGGCTCCAGCCCAACAGAACTGACAAATTTTTGGGACCATGACGTTTTTTCCTCAGCAAAACACCTTAAATCAGTCAGTACCCTGCAGCGAGCCACTAGGGGGAGTGCAGGACTGGACCTCAGTACCCCCACCTACACAGTCCTAACGCTCAAAATGGGACCTCAGGCCCTCCGGACTGGGATCTGTGGGCCATTGCCCAAGGGATTCTTTGGGCTTCTGCTAGGAAGAAGCAGTACTACTACAGCCGGGTTGCAAGTTTTCCCTGGGGTTATAGATGAAGATTTTATGGGGGAAATAAAAATTATGGCACAAGCTAATGGTACTGTTGTCACACTTTCTCCAGGACAGCGCATTGCTCAGCTGGTCCTTCTTCCTCTTGCCTTATTTGGAGCTACATTGGCAAATTCCCATGGGGAAGGAGGTTTTGGGTCTTCAGATGCTTATTGGGTCCAGCCTATAACAAAGGACAGACCAGAATTTCAATTGAAATTAAATGGAAAATGGTTTATAGGGTTACTAGATACAGGAGCTGATGTTTCTGTCATTTCTGCAAAAAATTGGCCTTAAGGATAGAAAAAAGAATTAACTACGACTCAGTTACGGGGTATTGGTCAGAGTCAGGGGTTAGAACAAAGTTCCGAGTTACTGCCCTGGGAGGATGAAGCAGGTAATGTTGGGACTTGTCGCCCCTACATTTTGGCTGGGTTACCTATTAATTTACGGGGATGTGACATTTTAACTCAAATGGGGGCTTTAATGTGAAGCCCAAATGAAATTGTTACCATTAATATGCTTCAACAGGGTCACCTGCTGGGTAAAGGCTTAGGCAAGCAACAACAAGGCATCACATCTCCAATTACTTTAACTGTTAATCATGACCGGAAGGGCTTAGGTTTCCCTTGATGGCCACTGATCAACCTGTGCCCCATGCAGAAAAAACAAAATGGAAATCAGATGACCCCGTATGGGTGGATCAGTGGCCTTTACTGCAGGAAAAGATAGCTGCTGCACAGATATTGGTGGAAGAACAATGGACAGCAGGGCATACAGTTCCTACTAATTCTCCTCGGAAGAGTCCTATTTTTTGTTATCAAAAAGAAATCCAGGAGATGGTGGTTGCTTCAGGAACTTAGGGTAGTTAATGCTACTGTGGAACTTATGGGGGCTTTGCAGCCAGGTCTACCACTGCCTACTGCTATTTCTTCTTCTTTTTTTTTTTTAGCAGGCAGAGTGGACAGTGAGATAGAGAGACAGAGAGAAAGGTCTTCCTTTGTCGTAGGTTCACCCTCCAATGGCCCCCGCGGCTGGTGCGCTGCGGCCGGCGCACCGCGCTGATCCGATGGCAGGAGCCAGGTGCTTCTCCTGGTCTCCCATGGGGTGCAGGGCCCAAGGACTTGGGCCATCCTCCACTGCACTCCCTGGCCACAGCAGAGAGCTGGCCTGGAAGAGGGGCAACCGGGACAGAATCTGGCGCCCCGACCGGGGCTAGAACCCAGTGTGCTGGCACTGCAAGGCGGAGAATTAGCCTAGCGAGCCGCGGCGCCGGCCACGTATGGATCTTGACAGACACACAGTAAAGCACAGTACCTGAGCGCCGGCCTGCCTACTGCTATTTCAAAAGACTCTTACATTGCGATAATAGATATAAACTATTGTTTGTACACAATACTTTTACATCCAGAAGATTGTCCCCGATTTGCTTTCAGTGTTCCATCAGTAAATTTTAGAGAACCTATGAAAAGATATCAATGGAGGGTTTTACCTCAGGGAATGGCCAATAATCCTACTTTGTGTCAACAATTCGTTGCTACTGCTTTCAAAAAATTTCGTAAGACATATAGTAATTTATATATTACACACTATATGGATGATATTTTGATAGCTGGGTCCGAGGAATTTTTGGTGACGCAATGTATGATGGAAATGAAAGAGCAGTTATCTGCCTTTGGTCTCATCATAGCCCTGAGAAAACGCAACTTCAATATCCTTATCAGTGGCGAGCGAGTGCAGAGTGTTTGGCCGCAGGGACGGGGCTACGCCTGAGTCAAAGGAACTTGTTTCTTCAAGCTCATCTGGCAGTGATTCTGACAGTGAAGCTGACAAAAGGTTAAAGAGGAAAAAGCAAATTACTCCAGAAAAATCTGTGAAGAAGCAAAAGGCAGGTGAGACCTCAAGAGCTCTGTCACTTCCCAAACAGAGCAGCAGCCGCAGCGGAGATGATAACAGGTTTCAGATTGGGAAAATGCGGTACGTCAGTGTCCGGGCTTCAGAGGGAGAGTTCTAACTGATACTGAGAGGACTGGATGGCTCCCGAAGGTGAAATGAAACCGGGGAGAAAAGGCATGTCTTTAAATCCAGAGCAGTGGAGCCAGCTGAAGGAACAGATTTCTGACATTGATGATGCAGTAAGAAAACTAAAACCTGAGTGATACGATACCTGTAATGTCTTAGTTGTTTTAAGCTGTCTTTTTACATTGGCTTGTGTTTTCTAAATGTTGTTTTCCAAGCTGTTGTATATTTGGATTGCAGAACAATTTGTAAGATGAATACTTTTTTTTGCATTATTAAAAATGTTCTGAGTGAAGTTAATTGTCAACTTTATTAAAGATTGCTTTGTGCCTACCTAGTGTAAAATAAAATCAAGTAATCATAAACAACAACAACAAATATCTTTATCAATATCTAGGCTTCCAATTGTACCCACGAAAAATACTTCCACAGAAAGTCACCTTATTATTGGATTCTTTGCAGACTTTAAATTATTTTCAAAAACTTCTAGGGGATATTAATTGGTTTCGTCCCCATCTCCGTCTTACAACAGGAGACCTTAAACCTCTGTTCAATATCCTAAAGAGAGATAGTTCCCCTACCTCCCAACGAGTGCTTACCCCCGCAGCACAGCTGGCCTTATCTCAGAGCTTCATTTCTTATATTGATTATAATCAGCCTTTAATTCTTATTATTTTGGTTACAGATTATTTACCCACTGCTTTGCTGTGGCAAGAGGCTCCTTTACTTTGGATATATTTGCAAGCTACCCCTAAAAAGAATGTTATACCATATTATAATGCAATAACTGAGATTATAGTTTAAGGGAGATTAGAATGTAGAAATATATTTGGGATAGAGTCAACATGTATATGTCAACCATATACTAACAAACAACTAATATGGCTCCTGTCTTTCACAGAAGATCAGCCTCTTGCATTAGCTTCTTTTTCAGGACAAGTTCATAATAATTATCCAGCAGATAAAGTGATACAATTTTTATGACAACATCCCTGTGTATTCCCATGAAATACAAGCTTTCAACCCTTAGAGAATGCTGCCCTGATATTTACCGACGGTTCCAACACTGTCAAGCTTCTGTAATTCGTGATGGTCACCATACAGTTATTAACACCCTTTTTTCATCTCCACAGCTGGTTGGATTAGCTGCTGTTGCACTTGCATTGCAGTCTACTTTGGATTTAGCGGTTAACATACACACCGATAGCAAATACGTGTTCCTATCGGTGCCTCAATTGGAAACTTGTTCATTCTTTCCTGAGTCCTCTGCTGCTTCTCCTTTGTTTTCTCGCATTTGCGTTATCATTCGACAGCGTACTTGCCCTTTCTTTATAGGTCATACCCGAGCACATTCCAATCTTCCTGGACCTTTGGTAGAGGGCAATTGTCTGGCAGATTCTGCTCTCCGCATCTATTCTATTGAAACAGCAACAAAAGATCACGCTTTACATCATTTAAATGCTCATACATTACGTTTAAAACATAAAATTACTCGAGAACAAGCTCGACAAATTGTAAAATCCTGTTCTATTTGCTCCATCCTATTACCAGTACCTTATTATGGAATTAACCCTCGTGGTTTGTTCCCCAATCAACTATGGCAATTGGATATTACTCACTTTATGGAATTTGGTAAACAAAAGTATATACATGTGCCTATCGATACTTGTTCTGGATTTATTTTTGCTTCCTTACATACAGGTGAAGCTACAAAACATGTTATTGCCCACTGCTTGCAAGCTTTTGCTTCCTTAGGAACCCCAAAACAAATCAAGATGGATAATGGTCCTGCTTATACTTCTACTTCTTTTAAAACTTTTTGCTCAGCCTTTTTTATATCTTATGTTACTGGTATTCCTTATAATCCTCAGGGTCAAGGCATTGTTGAGCGCGCACATAATACCTTAAAGCAATATTTGAATAAAATAAAAAAGGGGGAGTTTGGGATTTCTGCCCATTCTCCTAACAAATGGCTCTCACATTCTCTATTCATTTTAAATTTTCTCACATTGGACAAAGATGGTCGTTCTGCAGCTGATTGACACTGGCATCTACAAGCAACCGTGGAGAGAGCAATGGTGAAATGGAAGGATCCTATCACCCAATGGAATGGACCTGATCTGGTGTTGGTATGGGGATGAGGACATGTTTCTATTTTTTCCCAAAAGGATGATGCGGTGCGATGGCTGCCAGAACGATTGGTGCGACAAGTGGACACTCTCCCAGCGGCGTCTTTCGACAATACTCCTTGAGACGTTGTTCACGATCGGAATCTTCTCGAGGACGAATGAATCCTGTCATCTATCCACAAACCAGGCCAATGTCACTGTTCCTGTGGGCGCTCCAGTGATTTTAAATTGCTCTTGTGTTTATCTAAATGGGAGTGCCACAGCAGGGTTTATTCAGTGGGTGCGTAATAATCAAACTATATTTCGCCAGAAGAGTATATCTAATTGGCAGTGGCGCAATGTGACCGATCAATCAAAGAGAAATAATACCGACTTTAGTATAACAAAAGTAACCATGTTATCAGATGCAGGGGTATATTCTTGCCAATATTGGAAAAAAGCTTCGACTGATGTCCTTAATGGAACTATCAATGTAACTTTGTTTGTTAATGCTTCCTTTTCTACAGAATCTAGCAATTTTTGGTTACACTTGACCGCAGCAACACGTCTTCTTTTTGATTTAATACAGCTGATTCTCCTTCTTGTCTTCTTACTGCTAATCTTATAGGGATACCTGCTTCTAGTAGAGAGTTTACCAATATAACAAGCCTTAATATAACTTCCCTCAAGGCAGATAATGTTACCCGCTTATTATTTACCGTACCTTGGCAACTTAACCAAACTGGCTGTAGGGAATTTCTACTGTTCGATGGGACACGGGCTCCTAAGGGATGGGTTTTTCTATGTAACCAACATGCCTTCATAACCTTAGCCTCTGATGACTTCCACAATTGCTCCCTGGGCCGTGTGGCCCCGATACTGACATCTGTATTTACAGCGGCGGATAGAGCGTGTCGGTGGCGTGCTTTACCTGAAGACTATAATGACAATGTCATCCTGATAGGAAAAGACATTGCCCTTGCCGTGGCTGTATCAGTTGTAGGTGTTCCTGGACTAGCCTTTGGAAATAGTTGTGGACTGCGAAGGCTTGCATGTTTGGTGACCAAAACAATCAATTTTACTGCTACTATGTTGTCCAATATAACTGAAGAACTGGACCAAGTTCGCTCAGGAGTACTCTTAAACCGTGCAGCTATCGATTACTTGCTATTGAAAGATCATATAAGCTGTGAAGCTGTACCAGGGGGATGTTGTTTTAACATTGCTAATAATATGCCTTACGTAGATTCCGTTATTGACAAGCTTAAAAGTGAAAGGCAACATAGCTTTATCACTAACCCTTTGTCATTTGGAGCATTTCAGTGGATTCATTGGTTATTGATGTTGGCTGGACCATTGCTGCTTTTCTTACTTTGTTTGGGATGCCTTCCGTGTGTTTTTCAACTTATGCAAAATGCATTGCAGTCTGTATGGACCGAGATTCACCATTTAAAACTCCGTACCAAACCTCCCTTGTAATCAAGATAATTGTTACTTGGTCATACATTTCTTCTGTCCAAGATTTTTGCTTAATGCCGAGCTGGAATGGTCCTCAGAGACGGGTAAGACACTCAGCATCCTGTACCAATCTAAGACAGGGCTCTAGGCCAAGCTGCCAGAATTACCAATGATGGGAAAGGACAGAGATGACCGAGGGCAACCTGAGACAAAGGCCATCCTCAAAAAAATAAAAAAGGGGAAGATGTAGGCAGCCTTTGGACAAGTCAAGGTCAAGGGAGGATGTTGGTCAAAAACATTCTGTGGAAAATAGCCGATGTTGCAGGAGAGCAGATAAGCCGCTTGCATGTGTCGATGTCTGTGCACCTTCTGTGCTTCCTTGATGTGCCGCCGGTGTTATGTATAAACATCGCTGAGATGCTGGAATAAACGAGCCTTGATCGGCCCTTTGTCTTGGCTCTGTGCTCTGCGCTCTTGTCCCTCTTTTCATTCCCACTCCCTCCTTCAGGTTCTGTTCAACTGGTGCAGCAGGCCCGCATGATCACCTACAGATGTGGTAAAAATGTGGGTCTAGGGTGGGGCCTGAGAGTCTGGGTTTCTAACCTGCTCCCAGCAGGCGGTGCTGCTGCTGCTGCTGGTGGTCCTAGAGCTTAATAATGAGGCAGGTGCTCAGCTGGGCCCACCATAAAGCCTTCTCGCAGGGAAGTCTGTCTTTCAGGCACCTCATCCCGGCACCACTTGGGTAATGAACCGGTAGATGAAAAGATCTGTCACTCTGCCTTTCAAGTAAGTAAAAACATCTTCAGAAAATGACTTCATTTTATTTGAAAGGAAGAGACAGAGTTCTTCCATCTGCTGGTTCACTCCCCAAATGCCTGTAACACTCAAGGATTGGCCTGGCTAAAGCCAAGAGCCTGGAAATCAATTCGGTTCTCCTGCCTGGGTGGCAGAGGCCCAAGCATTTGAGCCATCACTTGTTTACTTGAAGGGTGTCCATTAGCAGGAAGCTGGAGCAGAGGCCAAGTAACCAGGGCTTGAACTGTGCACTCTGATATGGGATGTGGGTGTCCCAAGCAGACTTAACTGTTGTGCAAAACACCCACTCCTGTCAACTTGAATTCTGTATCAAGATGGCTGTTTGTGGAAACTCCACTTTGTTACTATCTCCAATTTAATTGTGAATTTCCATTTAATTAAGAATGCACAATCTATGCTGTAATTGCACTTTTATTTTTTTAAATACTACTCTATAATACCTATTTAAATTATTACAGACATCTTTCCATTTCACTGTAACTTTAAATTATTCATTTATTTGAAAGGCAGAGAGAAAGGGATCTTCCACCTGCTGATTCACTCCCCAGATGGCCACAATGACCAGGACTGGGCCAGGCCAAAGCCAAGAGCCAGGAGCTTCTTCCATGTCTCCCATGTCAGTTCAGGGGCCCAAGCACTTGGGCCATCATCCACTGCTTTCCCAGGAACATTAGCAGGGAGATGGATCAGATGTGGAGCAGCCGGGACTCGAACCAGCACCCATATGGGATGCTGGTGCGACAGTCACATATTTTAGATTCCAGTATAATTCTTATATTTGTCCTAGACCTTATTTCTTTGCTTAGGATTACAGATTTATTTCCTGGAAAGAGCTGTTGAGGTCATCCAGTGTCACTTCGCAAAGGAA